TTATCTAGCCTGCCCTTCATCAGCTTGTCTATGAGGTTCGTATGGGAGACAGCGTCAAAAGCTTTACTAAAGTCAATGTAAACAAAATTCACTGCTCTCCCCTCGTTTACCATGTCTGTCCTTTCCCATCATTAACCCTTGGGCTACAACCATTAGCTGAACAGGATATAATATATGCATTATATTGTCCACGAGAAGAAGAACAACAACAAACTATGGGTACACATATTTATAATACTACTGTGTGGTCCTTTCTTCTACCTCATGAGATCAAAGGGAAAAGTCCATGAAATCTCATTATTGATAATTATGGAGAAATATATCCCCAAATCAAGTTCCTCTCTCACAGCTCCTGGAGTTATTGAATTAGTGATTGGTTGATGACCTAAAATATGAGGGCTATAATTGTGACCAATTTTATCCTTCAGATATAATGTTACTGCAGACATTATTCTATCCATAAATAAATGTCTAATCTGATTTTGAGAACAACCAATGCACTATATTCTAGGACAACTAGGGTAATAAACTCCATAGATTAATTCTATGCTTCATAAAAAAGTTATTTCCCTTCCTCACTATAAAATACCTTGATCCCAATTACTTTGGCTACCTCCTGATTTTGGTGCTGTTGCAAAATGGCCAAATGTAATAATGTAACAGTTGAATTGATGCAGCTAGAGTAAAGCTAGCGTGAAATTTCATCTCATCATAGCTATATATGCTCAGTTAAAAATTGATTTCTTAAGTAAAAAGCTGGGACATTCCCACATTTCTTGTCTTCATCCCAAACATTACAATGTACTATTTATCAGAATGCACTATTGTGTACTACTTATAAGATGTCCAGCCCTAATGATTCTTAGAATCATTCAAATTTGAAACACAGCCCTCAAGGTCATCCCACACCAATTCCCATTGCTTTAATGCTATGGACAGTTTACAAGTTAGTTTCAGTGATAACAAAGTGCCATAGTAATACATCTCTTGCTAGTGTGAAATCAAAGACCATGGAAAGTGTGTGTGTGTGGTATGGAAAATTCTATCATGTAACATTGCAAGAAATGGATGGGCTGATAATAATCTTTGGAATTCAGCCATTTTTCAGTTTTAGAAACATTTTCATCTTGAACACTCCATAGTCGTGTTTGAAATGAGTAGACTATGCAATATGCGTCAGTTAGGGACGATGGGACACACGAGAAAGACAATAGGAGGAAGTTCTAATTTGATCTGTAGGTACAAACAATATGGGAGTTTAGAGGTGTATCTCAGAGTTTCAAGAAGACGCACATCTGCCTTTCAAATCATCTCTGCTGATGAGGAAACAAACATCAGGCATATAGCTACAAGATTATAAATCACTAAGATTATTATCTGTGTACCTCCAAAGACTTACCAAATCCAACGCAGGTGTATTTATTTTTATTATAATAAAAGGTGTCAGCTTTTAATGCATGAGTACCTCTCATGCATTGTAAAAATACAGGAAAACTATAACAATGCGTCCTGTTTTCTGCTGGGCTATGAAGAGACTCACTGTTTACAAGCAAATCTGAAGCATTTGTTCATCCTGATGTTAAATCAGACAAAATAAAGTGACAAAATCGGTGGAATGAATAAATCACTACCGCTAATAGTCTTTTGTCCTTGCATGGAATCTTCAGTGTGTAATTTTAATATCACTTTAAACAGTAAATTATATTAATTTTAAGTCACATGACTTAAAAGATTCCTATTCATCATCAGGTGGTGAATCAAAGGCTTTACTCAGTATAAATCCCTTTTTCTTAATTCACAACCCAATGCTTTGTGTGGTGCTTTAGGTCAACAAAAAGGCAGCACTGAAGAGAAGAGTCTTAGTGGCAAGTATTTCTTCCTGATGCAGTATTATCAGTATTTTCCCATTTCATGGTAGTACAGAAATCTGAAACCAAAGCATGAGAAAGAAGTATTTTGACTACTGACTCAGAACGGTGGTGTTTGCTTCACCTGGGAATATTGTAAGTCTGCAAAACAAATTGTTCAATTAGAGAGCAAGATACTGATTTTGAAAATCTCTTGGACAAATACTGAAAATTTATCATGCGTTGAAATAGGCTTCAGCACTGTCTTCAGTATGAATCATTTCCTAAATTGGTACATAATCAAAATAGTTATGATGGGATCTGCTAAATTTCAGATTGTTCCATAAGAGCTCTCAGCTGAAGGATCACGAACTTCATTTTTCACGTGTGCTGTGTGTAGAGTAACACAGATGATGTCTGCACCGCGATCAGAGAGGAGAGTGCTCTGAATTCTCTATGGAGTAGAGGAAGCCTGCTGGTACAAGAGATATACAGCAGCTGAAAAGTTTATTGCTAATGGATTCAGTTAGTAGCTACTGATTTCTAAGCTAACAGAAGCTAAGTTGGGCATGTTCTTTTTCACAGGAAGGCAAGACAGGAGGTAGAAAAGTGGTCGTTTGCTTTGGGACCATTTTGTGGCTGTTACAACTCAGATTATCGTATCTCCTAATGTATGTGAAATCATAGCTGAAACTTTTGCCCTGTTTCAGCCTTTGGCCTCGGACCCCTGAATTGCTGAATCCCGAGTTTAATAGCGCTGAAATTATCTAGTCCAGCTTTTCTGGGGTCTTGATAAAAATGTGCACATATTTTTACATGCCCACATAAGCTAGGTAACACAGCAACATTGTCTATATAGTTTAGTAATTTCAGATTGTTCTTGTTTTAAGTTTTTTTTTTTTTTCTCCCCCCATTATCTTATTTCAGTTTAGGTCCTTTTTTTTCATATGGGGGTGAGGAACCTTTTTCCCGGGGGCTCTACAGGCAACTTTGTTTCATTCAGCTTGCAACCAAATGGGTTCTTCTCACTTAATTATTGCATAAAACTAATGTATGTTAGTATGTGGCAAAGCCAAAAGATGTGTAAGGTAGCTTCAGAGCCCATCTCTACCTCACAGCAACTGGAGAAATCTCTTCATGGCAGAAATCAACCAAAACCATCTGTGGCTTCATATGGTGAAATACATGCATTTTTTGATGCTTTTTAATGCTGCTGGGTTTAGGGCAGGAATGTCTGAGACAGCCATTCAAAAAAAAAAAAAAAATCTGTTTTTCTCCATGTTCCAGTTGTAAGATACGTTCTGAGTTAAAACTTCAACTGCTCTGAATTGTCACAGCTGACATAGCTTGCTGACTTAAAGTCAGCCACATAATTCTTATCAGTTAAGAATCTGCCTCATGTTTTCAATTCATTCATCCATCCTGAGATATACACATTACAAATAAACAGTGTTTTTAGACAGATGGAGAAAAATAACATCAAAGTATAATTTCAGTGTATGGGCTCAAGTTTTAAAAATGCATAAATACAAGTCCAAACTATAAATACTTTGAGTACTGAATACTACACTATAAAATAATCAGTAATCAGATGAGCATTTTCCTTGGTAAATAACAATGAATTAGATAAACAACACATTTTTAAAATGTTTCACACATCTTAATTCTCAATCTATTTCCAGGGAACCCTTGAAAAGCCTTTAATGGAGAACATAGCACATTCCATATTAAATACAAAAGTCACAGACACATTTAACACTAGGAAGAACTCCACCCTATCAAAATATGAACCTGATTATGCTAATTATTTTCCCCCTGATATTCTTTGGACTGAAAACAATTTAAAAACAAAAAACAGAACAATACAAAGCAAAAAATGGAGTGTTTAAGTTAAGTGCTAGTAGCTCTTCTACGGTCCTTAACTCTGTGGCAGAGCTGTAATAGTAAATTGGTGACCTCACTTTGTTCATGGCAACAGACAGCTATATTAACAAACACACAATTACAAGTCTATTCCCAAAATAGAATTTGGGATGGGAGGGAGAAAAACTCCTCTTCAAGCATAAGGATTTCAATAATTACAATGGGGATGTGGAAAATGACAGGATGGGTGACTGGCTTATTGTGTAAATGTTCCTTTTTTTTTTTTTTTTT